AAAAAAAAAAAAATCTTATTTTGAGTTTAACGAGCATAGTGCAACTCGGCTCAACAACAACAACAACAACAACAACAACAAAAGCTTTTAGTCCCAAACAAGTTGGGGTAAATTAGAGATGAAATCCAAGAGAAACAGTGGTAAAAAATATAAAAAAATGGCTCAAAACAAAACAAAACAAAACAAAAACAAAACAAAACAAAACTCAAAACAAAAACAAAACAAAAGGAAGAGATTGGAGCAAAAGAGAAAGGAGCAAAAGTCACGGTTCCGACAAGTTGATCGCTAGCCTCCAAGCGCTCCTATCTACCGCTAAATCCTTGGAGATATTCTAATTTTGAAGGTCTCTCTAAACCGACTCTTCTCAAGTGAGTTTAGGCCGACCTCTACCTCTCTTAACATCATCGACCCGCTGTAGAACTCCCCTACGCACCGATGCATCAGGAGTCCTCCGTTGGACATGTCCGAATATCTAAAGCGAGTCGAGCTCAAGCATTACCAAGTCTGAGTTCACGAGTTTAGTTATCGTTTGTTTAATAGCTTTTTAGTTATCTGTTTTTTCATAGCGTTAGTTCAGGCCACCCAATCTGAGTTTGTGTGAACAGAAGAAAATGATATTTCCAATTTTTAACACTCTCTTTCATCTTTCATGATGCCATATTCCCTGTACCGACTGTTGAGTCGAGCTGAAAGAGCGTTAATTGTAGAGTGCAGAAATACATAATTATTTACACGAATATTGTGATTGTAGACCAGTGGCAAAACAGTTCAGCAAAAGGCATTCTCTAAAAAGTGAAAACTACACAGCCATGTATGCATCTTCCCCTGAAATTGCAAACCCAAAATGTAGTCCACATGAACTACTTGATTTCAGTATAATCTACACCAGAAAATCCATGAAAAACTCGAGATTCTTATGGAATATTGTAACCAATGTCATCGTCACGCAAACCCATATAACTTTGCCAGCAGCCACCACACGCCAACATTATGCATCAAGATGCAAAAGAGGCCAAAAGTGGAGAAGAAAATACAACAGAAATATTATACGAGTAAATTTCTGCTTCCAACATTCAAATCCCTCAAATCTGAGTACCTGACCGACTACATTGATCTAATAACCACAAAGCACCGCTAACTATGGTTAGTATCAACACTATCTTCTTGACCAGGGTTACTGGACCCAGTCAACCCTTCTTTAGGGCAGTCAGATTTTTCAGGAGTAATTTGGCTGGTTTGCTGTGGCAAGACAACCTTTTTGTTTTCAGTTTCACTCTTAGGTTGTCCTGATTCTAAGGCGGCCTCAACTTCCCCGTGTTTAGAAATGACTCGTTGAAGCTCGTCGTGGATATTCAGAGCGTCAAAGAGCAAAACCTCGTCCTCCGAAGTGCTTTCCACAATCCTCTGAACAACGGGCAAAGACTCTTTGCATTTATCTAGCATGCTCATTGTCAAATCATCCTGAAAAAGGGAGGGAAAATAAAAAAAAGCAAACTCGTTTAGTAGATTGTGTCAAAATGCAGATATCCCAGTTTAGAAGATTGTTTTTGTGCTACCATCTGTTATCAAGATGCACAAAGGCAAACCAAATAATCTATTTAAAGACAAATGAATTTTGTAAATTTTATGAACGATGCTTTCGTAGTTAGCCGTTCTTTTTTTCTTCCCTTTTTGAAAACAAGGACAAAAAAAAAAATATAGCAGCAAAACTACACCAGTACATGCAAATTATCCACACTAATTGCAAAAGCAGAGACAGAATATGTAAATAAAGTAAACCTTGATGGGTTTGGGTTCAGTATCGGAGTTCAAAATGCTTGACAGAATATCTACAGTGTTTCGAGTCATAGCAAGGAATTCCTTTTTCTCTTCAACCGACTGGAAGCCATAACCAATGAAAGTGAGATCCTCTGCGTTTTGCGAAAAACCAGTGTTAGGAATAGGGTATCTTTCAGGAGGTGACAGTGGCTGTTGGTCAAGATAAGACTCCAAATTGTATTGCATGGAAGGCGTGGTTTCTTCTTGAGCTGCAGGAGCTCTTCTCGACTTCAGTTGCTGCCGCAATTTAGAGTTGAGATAACAAATCAAGAATCACTATTCACCAGGTAAAGGGCATAACGAATGATACGAACTACAGAAAACTAATCTCATGCGAAATGTAATTACAAGGTAGAAAACATCATTTTCGACATCTTAGCATACACGTAAGAAACCAAAAAAAAAACATGGTACTCCTCTGATCCTGATGTTTTTTTTTTCTTTCTTTTTTGTATGGGCACAGAAGAACAAGAACTAATTAACCAAGCGAAATATCGTAACTTGAATGATTTAAAAAAGTTATTCGGTAAATAGGACGCACTAAGTGTACAAGTATAGGCCAAGTTCAGAAAACCATATTATTTGATACATAAACTCACAACATAAAGGCTTTCCCTACAAAATCACAGGAAAGTATTATTTTCTTTACAAGAATAACTTATAATACAAGCAATAGAATCACTCCAACCTGCAAAATCTCATTTTCCTCATCCACGAACTTTATACTGACAAATGAAAGAAATAATTAACCAATTAATTCACACTATCTACCGGAAAGGGTGTAATCATTTCGATTATGAACACGACGGCCTCCTTAAAGCCTGGCTCAAATCATACTTCAGTCAATAATTGAACAAATCCCCATAAACATCCTTCAATTCATACTATCACTAATTATCCAATAACTACACAATCATTGTAAAAAAAAAGAGGGGGGTTGAATACAGAACGAACTAACCATGTACGTCTGACGAAACACAGGCAAGTAGGCGAGATCCTCCGACTCGCCCCAAGCCCTAATCAGCTGCATCGCCCTAACCCTAACCCCGTGCAGCGTCCGTGAATCGTCAATCAGCTTCACGATATCCTCCACCACCTTCTCCGACGCCACCTCCGAGTAGACCTTCTCGCAGTTAGAGGTGCACGCCTCCAGCAAGTCCAGTCCCAGCCGCTGGCCCATGGGGCTCTTCCCCGGCGCGAGCTTCCTCTTGATCGCCCGGACAATCTCGGCGCCGTCGTACTCCTCGCGGCCGATCATGGTGCAAATCCGGAGGTTGAGGCCCCAGTTGGGCCCCTCCATGGCGTCGTCGGTGGCCTCGTCGACGATCCTTGACTCGGGAGTCGGCGCCTGGAGGATCTCCTTCATCTTGGAGCTGATCGTGCGGCCCACCTGCGCGCCGCTGGTCTTGATCCGCTCGCCCAGTGAAGACGAGGCGAGCTTCAGCTTGGATAGATCGAGCTTCTCCATGCTTGTTGCTGTTGGGGAGTAAAATTCTTTTGCAGGGAATTTTGGTCGTGTGATGCGTTCAATCGTTGATCGGACACAAATTGGGGGAGACTGTGTGTGAGGATACACGTGTCGCTTTTTGGGTAGTTGTTCTTGGAGTCGGTGAATCGGCAATTACGATTCGAACATTTTGGAATTCGAACTCGAACCGAAAATCAAGCGACCGGTTGAGGAGCCGCTCGATTGTATATATAATATTATTGAAAAATACCTTTAACTAAGACATTCTTAATTGAAATTTTCGAGCCAAGACGGAGCAGAATTTGCGAAGTTCATATTCTGAGTAGTTTTGTTTTTAACTTTTTTGCTTAGTTGAGTCGAACTTCAAATAAGATAAACTTGTCGAGTTCAAACTCGAACAAGTGTAAAAAAGACTTGAGTATGGTTCGATAAGGTTGACGTTCAACCCGACTGAGAGAAGAGTAGATTTAATAGGATTTAATATACTTTGTAAAATTTGAAAATGCACACTATTCATAATATGACCTTAAATATGCTTCATTGAAAATGCACACTATTCACATAATATGACCTTAAATATGCTTCATTGTTTAATTTGCTCGTATAATATGGCATTTTTTTTTTCTTTTTTTTTTTTGTCGGAATGACGAGAATATGGCCTTGGTTAATATGATAAATAACAATTACATAGAAAAGTGGGTTACTATGTCATAGATATGGATTATATGAACAAAAAAAATGCACTTAAATTGTTTTGAAATGTAGAAGTTGGTGAAAATTAATTAAAAAAAAAAAAGGAAAAGTCACCGTGGTACTCGAGATTTGCTTGATTCATGTTTTTTTTCTAAAATAATAGATTCATTAAAAAAAAACACATAATTATAAGCGGCTCACTAGTCGGAATAGGAGGACGGCAAAAAAGAACCTATAAACCACAACACACACTACAAGACGAAAAAAAATAAAAATAAAAGACTTCCCACAGGGAAATACACAAGATCTCCACATGAGAATAACACAACTCCTCAAAAAAAGAATAACACGAGAAAAATCACTCCACAACGGAAGAAAAACACACCAAACCACGAACAACAAACACAAAAAACAAGAACACACAACAAAAATAGACAAAATCTAAACTGAAACAGGCCCTCCACTCCAGCCAGCAACAATCGAGCCACACTTGCGAACGGCCACGACCGGAAAACAAAAAACACAAGCCAACCCAGATCTAGAAACTGCAGCAAAGGCCTAACTAAACCCGGACCAAAACGAGCCGAACCTCCGTTAACACGAGTCATTCCGCTCATCACTGAAAGCCCCAAAACACCAAACTGGTAAAAGAGAGCCGATCACCATCTCCGACAACCCACCATCTCGACCGTCAAACCACCCACCCCAACACCAAGAGACGGGGGGTCCAACGGAGCTCACCCGCCACAAACTCAGCCACCGTCCATCCCCAGACGACGGACGGTATCAGCGACCATGAGACCACCCCCAAGACTCCAGATCCCTACCTTCGCACCACCTTGCCCACCTGGAGAGGAGACACGCCACGTCTGGCTGCAAGGGATGCCTATTAGTGAAGCTCGCTGGCCCCCCAATGATGAGCGGCGCCGCAATGTGGGCGGCTACGACGAAAGTAGAGGCAATATCACGCGAGACAAAGAGACGAGGGTTAGGGATTGAGATTTTTTGGGTAGAAAGAGAAGTGAAAGAAATCTAATTACAACTAGATTTCTTGCTACCAAGTTCCAATTAATTAATTTTCACTATCATAAGTTTCACCCAACAATTACATCTAAATAATTTTTTAGATATTTATCCGTCGATTATTTTAACAATGATATATGTCTAGAAAATTTATTTTGAATAATAAAATAAGAAATTATTAATTATAATATACTCGTGATTTAAAGTCATGAACTCGTGAATGCAGACAAAACAACACCACATTTAGAGAGAGAGAAAAACACACACACACACACACACACACACACACACACACACACGCACACACACACATAAATTGTCAAAGAGCTTCGAGGGTTTAAGAGAGGTGCAGCCCTGAAATTGAATTACCAAAAGCTGAACTTGCAATGGCTTCGCCTTCAATCTGGTTCCGCTACTTTGTCAGCAAATTCCAGTACTCCGTCTCTCTGACTCAGAAGGTTAATTCCTCTTTCCATTAGCGTCTTATATATGCTTTTTCTGTGACTTGATCTTATCTTGATTCTTAAAGATGTGTCTTTTTTCCTCTTCCCGAACGTTGTATTGCCTTGATTGGACAGTAATATTTGTGGGGTTTGAGGTTTGCGAGTAATTTGCCTTTAAATATGTGTTTTTTTATCATACCTAAGGGGGGTTTCGCTTTGATTGAGGAATGAAGCTTGTGGGTTTATATTTGATCATTGGGTATTGAGTTCTCTAAATATTGGATCTTTTGCATCTATTTGATATCTCATTCATGGTGAGGTATTGCCTTGATTGAAGAATGAAGCTTCATTCTTAAAGATGTGTCTTTCTTTCCTCTTCCCGAACGGTGTATTGCCTTGATCGAACAGTAATGTTTGTGGGGTTTGAGGTTTGCGAGTAATTTGCCTTCAAAGATGTGTTCTTTTTATCATACCTAAGGGGGGTTTCACTTTGATTGAGGAATGAAGCTTGTGGGGTTTATATTTGATCATTGGGTATTGAGTTCTCTAAATATTGTATCTTTTGCATCTATTTGATATCTCATTCATGGTGAGGTAT